CCCCCCCCCCAGCTGACAGGTAACACTGTCTGGTGTTAGACAGAGTAAAATAATAAAGTTGGGCACATTGCCACTTGAAGGGTTAATATACATAACTATATTATTATAAGAGAATATACATAAAGTAATATTTCATAAATACCTCTCTTTGTTCCTTGCTTCTCAAGTAAGAGAAACAACTTGCTTCATATTTGCCACAACAGCTCATCAATTCCTGTATAGATAGGCCTGTTGGTGAATCTTAAAATACAAAATGATTAGCAAAAAGTCCTATTTTATTATGGTTTAATAAATTTATTGTATCATATTTTCAAGTGTGTGTCTCAGATGTGAAAATTATGTATTTGTAAGCAAATAAATATCAGTAAATATACATCACTGTGTCAATTATACCTTTTTCTCTTTGTCAACAACTTAATACCTTGCCTTGGTACAATACCACTGTGCCATGATGTTATTCACAATATCCTTTCATTTGAATGTAAATCAGAAGATTAGTCAAGTCCTCAAAGAAATAGTGTACAGCAGACTGCATGGACTGAAATATACTGTATACTAAAGGTAAGTAATGTATTTGTGTTAACGTGTGGCAGCATTTTCCCATTTCAAAATTATGATAGTTATGACTTTTCTTCAGCACTTTTACAACCCCCATCATCTCCAACTGACTGCTTGCAATATCCTTTATGCACCTTTTCAATAAAAAACCAACATAATCTTTCAGTTTGTTCAGCTCACTCAGCAAATCTAAGAAAACAAGAAATTAATCCATTAGTTTATTTGCACAGTAACAATTTAGACCTCATCCCATCCTTGCTCGTATCGGTATGATTATTCACTCAGACATCATGTTAGTATAGGTAATAGCATGGTTTCGAGTGCAATTTGGATATAACATGCACAAGTGAGTTTTTCAAAGACCTCAAAATAGCATGAGTCCGAAGGACGAGTGCTATTTGAGGTCTTTGAAAAACTCACAAGTGCATGTTTATCCAAATTTCACGAGAAACCATGCTATTACTTATTAATAATTTACGTAAAAATGTTCGAGACAATTGTAGTTTTAACTTACATGTTTATAACGAACATTCCACTGGCAACGTTTTCCTGGCTTTATTATATCACATTATACAATGCTAACAGCTTGAAAATTCCACTCAACTATGTAATTTTTGTTAGTCTTTTTAAGGTAAATGCTTTTCCATTTAAAAATAAAGATAAAAGCCATATTTTCCATGCGAAGGCAACTTTTACTTTGTGTAGCACAGCGCCATGTTTGTTTTGTTTTGAAGCAATCTTTAAACTATTGGTTGATTTAATCATCACACTGTTTTTCCACCAATCAGATCAGTTTGTTACAGATTTTTGCACTGTAATCACAGAAAATTGCACTGTGATGATAGAAAATTGCACCGCTGTTTGGGATTAACTGCAGTGAAATCAACCAATCACAGTCGAGTAAATATCTTTATGTATATTATAAGTTTAACAGCAAGTTAGGAACCTTGGGGACAAAACCTTAACCGTTTTATAGCCATAATTAATTATATTAAGTATATTAATATACTGTACCATTATAGACATGTTATTTAAGATTTCTACCTTTGTTGCTTATAGTGCCTGATCTTGTAGGACTTTGTAGGGGCCCATGTCTTTGGCTTCCTTCAGTTTCCAATCCTGTGATGAGAAGTTGAAGTTAAATAATTTGCGAGTTGTTACAAACAAGGAAACAGTTAAAATAATGCTTTTCATCTGAATATTGTTGCAAGCAAACAGGTGGGAAATTTGTCGTTGCTGACCAAAAAATCGCGGGCAGAAACAAAGCTTGTTGCATTTACATTCAAAACAAAGCAGAAAGTTAGCAAGAAGCTGTTTTAGCTGACAATTTTTTGCTTTCCATTCAACGATTTACAAATTAACGGTTATTCTTTTAAAAGTTGACTATGAATTCTTTGTTTTGGGATGATTTGTTTTGTAATCGAGTGATTGGAAGAAGTTAATATGGCAATGTGAACATGGGAGTAAATACCGTATACGTCGATCTGTGGCTTGTTTAAACCATAATAAACGAAGAAAGACGTGATATGAGAATGAAATGTAAGTTGAAATAACTTTATATGCCTCAAATTTTCCATCCTATGTTTTTTAATGTAACTTCAGCTGTCTAAGTTCAAAATACAAGCTCGCAAAATTTCACAAATTTTGAAAATATGTAAAAATACCTTGACTTTGAACTGAAATCAAAAATAGCCTGTGGCCTCAGTTTCAAATATAGCTAAATAAAAAGAAAAAACTTTTCGGCATTTGTAGGTATCAAACATATCGTCAGGAAAATAGGGGCTCACAATGTTTTAGCTGAGTCTTTGAGACCCAGTTGCTTCGCACATGTTGTGGTCAAATTTTTGCCAAGAATCAAAGGCCGAGATGTGAACTTCCTTCATGAAAACCGGCTCGAGAAGGGTCTAGTTTGAAAATTTAGCTATTAATTTCGATTTCATGAGCATATTTTGGTTGCACGTTAAATATTTTTGTACTTGATGAGATTCAAAATTTGTTGTATATTCAAGCCCGGCTTTAGTGTAATTTTGGTGATGACCGGAACAGAAATAAAGATATTTTAAAAACTGGCCGTGGCCTCACGATAAAACTTTCTAAAAATGTTTTCTGTTTCATGTATTTTTATTTGATATCTTAGGTATAAGTGTAAAAATAGGGGCTCATACAGTTTACGAGGTTGTAAAATGCATGACTTGCCTCTATTTTCATGTAAACATTCGAAATTTTTTGACAGCAAAGTAGCAACTGTTTCAGATCCAATGCACATGGACAACCCACCAGAGACAATGGCAGGATACTGAAATAGAACGTCACTAAAAAATTCTGTATGGTTAATTTAGATCATGTCCATTTTCAACATAAAACAGTCATTT